CCCACCTAGTTTAGAATTGCTTGGCTAGCATACCAGACTGGTAACTATACAGGGCTGGCCTAATAGCCAGCTTAGCCTACTAGCATACCAGTCTCAAACCATTCCTTGTGTATCAGCAATAAATAAAGCAATTACTGTGGAGTTAAAGGTTGTATGTGTGTTCCTGCTTTCATGTCTTTATGCCCAGTAAAAAAAGTCTAATTAGAAGTGACCCAGGATGTGTTACAGCAGCTTTGCTTTTCATATTTGTTCTGGCTCAGATTTCCCTGTGATTCATTGCCCTCATACTTTGCTTTGTCTTCAAAATTTTCTTTCCAGTCTTACACACTACCAGCGTAAGTTGTTCTTCCAATAAAATAAATGCAGAGGCTAATCATAGCTTAGACAGTGTTTTAGTACTGGTTTGGTCCTGGTTTGTAGATTCAGAAGAAAATTTACATGGTATAAACATTTAGACCTGGCCCTACCTACAGAAGCAGATTTCACCTCAGATGGGTTTATAAATAAAAGCTGAGCTGATGTACATTTTAAAAAGGCTCAAAATATTATCAGGCTGTTGAGAAGGTTTTTTTAAAGGCAACCTATTTTTAAAGGCTGTAGGTCCCTCACTGGCTTCTTCCATCACTACCCTACATTTTTATTACAGGGCACATGGCACCAAAGGTGAGAACTTCTCTAAAGGGGGACCACTGTGTGATGCAGTATTTACACTAAGAGGAATTATTTGTTTCATAAAATACTGTGCAGAAGGACATGTATTTCCTCAAAGAGCCATTCCTGTTTCCCAGAAGAGTTTTATTTAGGGAATCCTGTGTCCCATTCAGACTTCAGTCCACTCACATAGCTTGCACTCTCCACCGTTCCATCTGGCTGTCCAAAATCTCTCCATCCCCAACAGGCTTCTTTTCTTTCTTGTGTAGCCTTAGGCTATCAAGTATTAAATCACTCTTCAGTGTTTCTATCCCATTTTCTAGTTCCGTGGAACTCCCTCAGCAATGGAAATCCAGCCTGCTCAGCTCTGACAGTAACCAATTCAAATGGCATATTTTTAAGTGCCACTTTCACTCACTCATCTCCTCCAGCTATCATTCCCCATTCTCCTGTACATTCAGCTTTATTACTGGCATGATTTGTATGCCAGATTGAGCACAAAGGGTCTGCAAGTCCCCAAGACAGAGGCACATAGCACTGAACATCTGAGAAAGGTGGTCAAAAAATCATATATGCCACTGCCTTATTGTAGAGAATCCTCAACATTTAATTTCACCTTTGCTTTTGAAGAAGTGTTGTGCCTCTATGTGTTTCTCCAAGTGTCTTGGCAAATCTGACATTTCACCTGCTGGTGAAATAATCATTAGCCTTGTAATAAAAGGGAAGTCTGTCAGATATTTGTTGAGCTTCCAGCTCCCTACTAGCAGAAGGGAGTAGGTAGCAGAAGGGAAAATTTCTCACTAAAAGCAAGCTGACCACGAAAATGAAGACAGTAAGTCTACATGTAATTTGAAAACCTCACCCATTTATTCTTAGTTTATCAGAGCACACAAATCCTCTTTCAGGTTTTAGTGGGATTGAGTGTATCCTGAGCAAGTTTGCTGATGGCACCAAGCTGTGTGGTGTGGCTGACACCCAAGAGGGAAGGGAGGCCAGAGGGACCTTGACAGGCTGGAGAGCTGGGCCAGTGCCAACCTCATGAAG